GAATATCTCGTAAACGTTTAACTTAATCGAAAAATCATATCAGAGCATTTTTATAGAGCAGTCAATTTCCTACAAAACTATGAGTTTCATCATGCGATGTATGATGTATGAAACAATAGAAATTTGCATTCGACCTGTTATCACCGATGCTTGGCAGGTTGGCAAGTAATGCGTTTGTGGGAGGTATGGATGTGAGGCAAATGCCGCTTACAAACTCGAGATGTCTAAACGCGTTGTTAGTGTACGAAAACTTCTGTATTTGCACGAGCTTTGCAAACAATACTTCAAGGTGGCTAAAGTAGGTTAAACTCCACATGCAAAACAAGGCAGCAACTTGTGATCGATATTTTTGCCAACATTTTTGTTTCCAGTGTTAGCGGTGTCGCGCTAATTCCTAATGTCTCCTGTAGACCCATCAAAAGACAGTAATGACAGCATTAAAGAAGTTGCGGCAGAAAATCTTACTTTTTTGTCCACAGTATATGTATATACATTAAAAATGTATAACATTTGAATTGTTTATACTCACTTCAAGTTCATTTTCCAAGTCGAAGACGTTATTCGCTGTGTCATCGAAAACTTGACTGGTGTTGAGTTATTTCATCACTGATGTATTCTCAATGAAAATTGTCATCTGAAAATGGAATAAAGCACGAAATGAAAATAAGCACAAAAAACTAGAGTAATCAATTAAAAAGTCTTAGTAAAATTGCTTAGCTTTCCCATTTACAATTAGTTTAAAAAGTTAAAATCTACCTCAACACTCAACACCAAAGAAAAATTCATACAACACTTCAACGCGCTCAAGTTCACATTGGCATAGAAACATAAAGAGGCTTACTTGGTTTTATTACACCGTTATTGCGCCATTACCCTTACATTTATTATACTAAGTTGGGCTTTGTGGTTACTTTTCTTGCTTTTGAATGTTGCTTAAAGTGTTGTTGTTGTTTTTGCTGGCTTTTMAATAATTGATTTTTGTCGTTTGCTGTCAGTCAGYAAGTCTGTCACGTTGTCGCGGTTCGGATGAAAGGATGGCTTCCATCGAAGCAGAAGCAGGAATAAGGGAGTGTTGGTCGGAAAAAGTTACCACGAGCGCGACCGGGTCGACTGTCTTAACATCGGTGCGTTGTGAAAGTCGTGCTGAAGCGTTTTAATGCCGCATAAAACAATAAACCCACGCTACCGGCTGTTAAGCAACATGTAGGGCGAAAACGTGCACAGAAAAGAGGCAACAAAAATATAAATGCGGTAGGATAAGAAAAAGGCTTGAGTAAAATCAATAAAATTGTGATGTCTACAAAACGGGTAAATGATAGCTAGAGGACTTAGGCAACCTGAGCTAAGCAGAGTTGAGCCAAAAATAGAAGTTGAGTCTCAACGAAGCAGTATTTTGAGCTTTAGATAAAATCTGCTCATACATACTTTACACATACTTTAAATAGAGTAAATAGAGAATACTATAAATTCAGCAACAATAATGACTTGATTCAAGCTGGCTACTACTTCAGCGTTTTCTTGAATTATTCACACAAACATATTCACGCAAGCATACAAATACAAACATAGATTTGTACGTACATACATGTATTTCATTGAGCGTTTGGTACTTTTTTTATTGCGTCAGTGGTCTCATCTGACATCTACCGTTATTTTTTATTCTTATGTGATCGTCAGCTTGACGACTTTTGTAGAATTGACTATTGGTCTCTCTGTATGTGCTTATGTACAGATGTATACACATTACAGATGCTTCTTCTTCTTGCTGCCAATTGAAATGCTACAGCTGTCATTTGTCTTTTTTGACAATTTCCGGTAATTGAGATTGAAAGTTAAAGTGTTTGTTGCGAAGGTAAATATATATAATAGTATAATACTTGATAAACTTTGTATACAGTCGTAAATATTTTCAAAGGACCTCCTAAGTATAAGCATACTAAACCGAATATAAGAAAGGAGTAAAGAAATATGCTCTTTTTAGTGCAGTTTTGTCAAATAAGAATTTAAATATTTGTTAGCGGAATTTTTTCTTTAACGAAGGCGTACAGTTTATTTATTTGATATGGAATCTTCTATAGATCTCCCATATTTCTGCCTTATGAATATGATTTTTTCCAAAAATATGGCAATTTATTGCATGAATGGAAGCCAGAGAAATACCTTAAGATGTAAAACGTCAATCGGAGGAGCGGAATCTAAGCAATTTTATTTCCGGTCAAAAGCCAACTCTAGATACGGGGGTCCACACATTCCGTAAATAGGAGCTTGAATAATTTTGCTTGGATTTGGACAATTTTTAGTCATAAGTTGGCATACTTTAAACGTATTATACTTCATGATATAAGTCGATGTTGCTGGCTGTGTCGCGTTAAACCCATGGTTTTCTCCGTTTAGGTTTCTTAAAATAAATCCTTTTTTCATCACCAGTGACAATTCGATGCAAAAGTGATTTTCCGTCGTATCTTTGTTGCTAAATTTTACAAATAAAAAAATCCTTACGTAAAATTCTTACGGTTTTGCGTTTGACTTTCATTCAATTCCTTTCCATTCATTCTTTCCCATAGCACTAAAACGATCCGAAATTTTAGCTTGTGCAACATATAATTGGCTAAAATTGGCTTTTCACTCAAAGTATCATCTACATCCAATATTGCTTGCAGTTCGACATCCTCAAACTTTTTTGGTGGCCTTCCACTTCACTCTTCATTTATCACATCAAAATCTTTATCTCTAAACAACTGGTACCATCTTTTGAATGTTGCTTCTAATGGAGCAGGATCACCATGTATCTCCAAAAGCATTCGATGCGATTATGCAGCATTTTTCTTCAAGTAGGATCAATTAAGAAATTAATGCTTTCCTCAAATCTTCACTTTTTGGTACAAAATTTTTAATTTTTAACACAATGATCAAAATAGTGTTGCAAAGAACCATCGCAAAGTATGCAACAGGCGCTTATATGCGGTGTTCCTGCCATT